CATTTGTTTTCTTTCTACAGCTAAAAATATTTCCATTAAAGTACTTTTTTTTTACTGATAGTAGATCCTGTGTTAGCCTTGAAGAATTTTAAATGGAAATATTTTAAATTCTGACTGATGAAAATTGACAAAGATATGAGCAGTTATAAATCTGTTTCATGTTTTTTTATTAAAAATTATAAAATTGCACGACACATATAGACTGAAACGTATATATTAGATTTTAATCGATTGTAATATAATTAGAGACCTAATGAATTTCTATGAATGGAGACGATCCTCATTGAAGGAAGCTTTCTCGCTGAGGGAAGCATAAAACTTTATTTTTATTTCCAACAACTGTTTAACGTATATTTTGACATCATTTTTATTGTTCAGCATTTTGTTCTTACTTCGTAATTAACAAGATTTGATAGTTTAATATTTTTTTTTTTAACAAGATCTTTTAAAATAAACAAAACATAAATCATTGAGATTTATTATTACTTAGTGTTGATTTCAAATAATTTTTCAGGAATTTCAACTTAAAAAAAAAAAGAGGTTTATTATCTACGAAAGAAAACTATTTTATAAAGTCAGAAATATTTTATCGAAGGACAAAATTTCTCGTCGATTATCGTTTAATAATCCACGAAACTATACAATTGAGGTGATTTATAGTTTTTCATGAGCACTTTGAACTGATAACAGAGACTAAAACCAAATCGAATCCTTTCTTTTGTCTGTAGCACACTCAACATCTACTATTCTAGTACAGTTGATAGACAACTATCATCGTCGCGAAGAAACATCACTGAAAAATGGATAGTACGTAAAATTACATAACATCTTTTTTTTGAACTAAATCTAAACCGAATCAAATCGAATGTAAGTCTGATATAGTCGAATCTGAATTGAAATTTTTCTATTCGTTTTGGTCTCTGGTTGATCATATTTTGAACAAATAATCAAGAGAATATATTATCGATATAATTCAATTTAGTTAAGATAGTCAATCGATTCACAATACTAAGACTTTGATTCTTTTCAGATATGATCATAATAATTATCGTGTGAGTCATATGATTACATATATGCATTCTTTTCTCCTGTAAGCTATACATCATAAATTTTTTTTTCCTACTTCACAATTTGTCTCCTATGCCCTGAAAAATTCATGGAATTAATTCGTTCGTCAAAATAATATAGAATCATTACTTTCCTAAAATAATCTTTCTTTAGTGAAAAAAAGCTTGTTAGCACAGTCACATTGACGCGCTGAAATGTGGAACTTGTATAGAATCGATTGATAGTAAACGCTTTGTCTTTTGTATTTCTACATTTCGAACACAATTTTTTGATTTTTTTTATTTGTCTTGTTGCTATTCGTTTGGCATTTTTTTCTTTTATTTTCATAATTTATTATAATTAATCTTACTATTCATTTAATAGACAAATAAGCCTGTTGTATCTATTCGTTAAATGTATATCAAATCTTAACGATCTAACATGTATCTCAACGAACTTAGAAACCTTGATTTTCATTATTCTCGAAAGTTAGAACTTAATCAATTCATGCTTTCGTATTGATCATATGACAGTTGTGGAAGAATCAAAACATCATCCTTGATCTCTTGAATATAATCGTTTATCTGAGCAAAATGAGAAACTGTATTTTTTAGAATATTGAAAAACGTATCCCAACCATTTAAACTTCAAGGAAAGTTCTAGAACCTTCTCAGCATTGTTATTAATGCTATTCAGTACTTCTAATCCCCATTGATAAGGTCTATAATGGGAAGAGTGAAGAGCCGCAAAACAAAGACCTAAAACTTATACTCACAATTATTTTCGAAAATATATATATGTTTTATAAAACTAAGTACACAATTTCGAGAAATCAATTATAGATTCAAATCCCTTAAAATCTTTGGTCAAACTTTATAAAAAAAAAACCGTGATTTTCCCCAATAGTTGTTGTTTGGACTAAAGAATCAAATTCATGAATTTTTCATTATTCGGTAATAAAATATTCATTATATCATTATTATCATTTTATTCTTCTTATCTATTTATACTGATTGTATTATTTAAAATATGATTTTCATCTTTATTTTGTCTTCAAATTATTTACTGATTGATTTGATGTAATTCATTCACATTAACAAATAGTTTAAGATATTTATAATACATATACACAAATACAATATTCTTAACAATAAAAGGAGAACAAAAATAAATCCATTGAACTTTAAGATAAATAAATAATCTATGTTACACAGCAATAAAATATGGACAAAAAAAATATATATATCTGATTTATTATTTAACTAAACAAAATTCATGTCGATCTAAATTTTTTATTTGGTCGATGAACAAATGAAGATGTTGATTGAATAAAGTCATCATCATCATCATCATCATCATCTTCAGTCAAATCAATCATTGTTTGTGTTCGAGATAAATTAATTTTTTGAGATAATGTTGTTAATGAAGATGTAGATATAGGAGGACGTTGTGTAAAAAATTTTTGATTAGGTTTACTTTTTATTTGTTTAACGTAATTTTTATTTATATTTTCATTATGATCATCAGTTGGATTAGTTGTTGTTTCTATTTCAGATGAATCTACTTTTTCTGATTGTATTGATGGTGGTACCATAGGTAATGGACGTTTAGCAATAAATTTTTCAAAAGCTTGATTTTTTATCTGTTTAGATTGATTTTCATTGAGGATTTCATCATCAGTTACATCATCAACTTTCCATTGTCGATAAGCAGATTTAGTTTCTTCAGTTTTCTTTGGTACTTCTAAAATACAAATGGAAATTACGTTTTTTTTTTTTAAATAAATCTTATATTTACCATTTAATGATGGAAGATTTGAATTCAATTGATGTTGTTCATTATCAATTAATTTTTTTTCTAATTCTTGATTTTGTTCTTGTTGTTGATTTTCATACATTGATATTTCATCAGATATTTTCATATTATTAACAAATTTTTCTAAAGCATTCATTGTATCATCATATTTTTGTGAAATTGAAAGACGTTGTTTAATCCATAAAGAAATTTTATTATTAAAATTTTTATTATTCATATTATTAACAATTCGTTCTTCAACAATCTAAATAAATAAAAAAATTAAATTAAACTTTAAAATAAAAACAAAAAATATATACAAATAATGCTCCCCAATCATTTTTATGACGAATACATCTTCCAAGTGCTTGATTTAATGCACGATATCCTTGAGAATCATACTTAAATTTAAAAAACAAAACAAAAATTATTTTAAGAACAGATGAAGAAAACTATCCTGTGACGTTCTTTTTTTTATTTGAAAAAACTTACCCAATCACTACCATTCATAATTTGTGGCATACGTTTATTTTGTTCATTATTGTAATTACGTTTAAAAGAAACTTCTTCATCTTGTACATTAGGATATGGTATTCCAAGTGTTATAACACAACGTGCATTATTATCCGAAAAATCAATACCTTCAGATGCACGTCCACGACAAACAGCTAATAAAAGACCACCTTTTGAATTAAAATATGGTGAATTTATTGTTGATATTTCATTCGATGTAGGTTTTCGTTTAAACATTTCATTTACTCGTTTAGCAGTAGTTGATATTGGTTTAACTATTTTTAATGTTCCATTTGCTTCACGAAATCGATCTTTGAAATAATTTATAACAAAAAAAAACAAAAATAAATAATTACAAAATCAAATCTTACTAATTGTATTTTGAAAATTAGCATTATTTTTTTCTTCAAAAAATACTGATTTATATTCATTTAATTTTTGCCATAATCCACTTGTCATCCAACGATTAATAATTACATTAAGAAATCGATATGATGGTACAAAACAAAGTACACCATAAGGAACACGTTGACAAATATCAAGTAAAATAAGACCACATTCATCCTTTAAAAGAATTTCAATTAAAGAAAGACAAAAAAAAGAAATAATCCTACTTGAAATTCAAGTTTATCAGTATTTTGATATGTTGCTCGTAATTTTATATTAGAATTTCGTCCATGACTTAATGCTGTTATAAATGTACGGTCTAGATCAATAACATGATTACATTCTGAAAGAAATTTTTGTGTTTTTTTGAAAGATTTTAAAAAAATTAAATTATTCTTTTTTTTTTTACCCATTTGAATATCAAATGAAACTTTTAATTCACCAGAATAAGTTGCTAATGGTGCAAGTGTGCCAGAAGCAAAGATTAAACTTAAATAATTAGAGAATTTAGCTATATTTAAAATCATATCGAATAACTTACGATCGAGCTAATTTTAAATCTTTCGAAAATGCAACACTTGGTGATAAACAATAAAATGTTAATTGCTGTGTATGAAGAGGATAATTTGTTTCAGCCAAACTAGGTTGATATCGTTTAAATTGACTTGATTGTGAACGTACATCAATCCAATCAGTATCATTAAGTTCTGTTGAATTTTCCGATGATCGTTGTTGCATTTGTGAAATTATATTTGCACTTGGTTCAAATGGAATTGTTTTTAATGTTATTCGATAATCTTCAATAAATTGATAATCATCACCATATAAAACTGATAAACAGCTAAAGAAAAAGAAAGTTTTAGGAAAAACTTTAGATCAAAACAATAATTCAATACATTTCAATATCAATTTTTTTTTATACAATTCATGAAAATAATTTTATCTATAAAGGCATACTGTGAAGGATCATTTATTTGTATGAGAAAATGTCTTAGAATATCTCGGCGCGTTTGTCTTATTATATTTTTTCATATACAATGAGAAAATACTCGTTAAAGTTTCATCAATATTCTGTTTATAAAGCAAAAAAAAATACCGTTAATTTTAAACGAATCAATGATTATTAAGAAACATTTTTATTTTACTGATAAGATTTGATTACATATTTATAAAGAAAAATCATTACATTATGCTGTATCATACAGAGATGATCATCATTTTCGTGGAGTCCGAGGGTAACTGCATCTTTATCCTACCAGGTGTTAAATTCTGTTCCTCGGACTTTTTTAGAAAAAAGATGTACATCAAATATTGAAAGTTAAGAAAAGGGACTTAACCGTTGACATACTCTCTCTTCATGAAATATCGTTCGTTTTATTGTCTTAATTCGATACTCATTTATTATATTTATCAATTAAATCGTAACCAATCTTGCTTAAAAATTGTCCTAATAGAAAATTGATCGAATTCAAAATTTAGTCAATTTCATTGTGACAAGCATAATATTAAAACTTGCCTTAAACTTTCAATTTTATATTATTGTTGATATACGAATGGTCAAAAAGGAAATATTATAGCATTGCAAGTATGAGAAAAAAATTTCGCTCATTACCGTTAGGCATGACTGCGCCACTTGTCCACAAGACTTTCTGTCAATGACCGCTATTTTCGAACTACTACCGTCCTTCCGCATTGGCCTCGCTTCGTCTTTTAGACAAGGTAGAAATTGTTGATGACATATTTAAAACACAAAAAAAGGTTTTTTTAAATGAAAGGACGATGACTTTTGTATAAGTAATTCAGTATGAAAATTTCAGACTCTAGCATTTTCTATCCTCTGATGTAAATATGTAAGAACAAATTTTATCATTATTTTGTTTTTGTATAAGAATTTTATTTGTACAAAGTTAAAGCTCGAAAATTGATTTTGAAGGAAACTATAGGATTTTGTCGTTAGAAAAAACCCTAACTTTATAGATGTACAACAAACTCTTTGTAAAGAAAAAAAAGATTATAATCAAATTATTATCTTACAGATCAAGTTCTTCTAAAAATTTTTCAGTTTCATCGGAAAATTTGATATATTCTGGTCGATTTAAAAAAATTTTAGCTAATGCTTTTCGTATACGATCAGCATCTTGAATAACTCGACGTTTAGTTGCTGGCCGAGTTTTTCTAAAAACAAAAAATATAATTTATTAATCTATATAATATAAAAACAAACAAACTTAACATACGTTGCTGGTTTATGAATATTAACAATTGATTGATCAATAAATTTTGCTTGATGAAATTGTTCAATAAGTTCTTTAGGTGTAAATGTAAATTTTTCACGTGTATCTTTTGTATCAAACCATAAAATAATTCGAGAAAATCTTTCGGCAAGAAATTTTAATGCACTAGCAACTTCATGATCATCAGATTGTAAGTTTTCAATTGAATTAGATGATTCATCTTGTTTATTTCCATGTTGATCAA